TACCCTACCTCTTTGGACTACCTAATTAAACAGTGTAGGCAGGAGATTGTGCTTAATTATGTCTAGGTTGATCTGACTATTTCATCATAATGTTGAGTTCCCGTGATTGAAATTATTGTAATGCATTCTCACTCATGCTAACCATGTCCGTTATGTGACAGCTTTGAAATGTAGTTTGCACTTAATCAAACTATGGACTGTGATTAATTTGCCTCTTTGATGAAATACATAGCACTCTTCGAGCCTCTCGATGTATGCGCTACGAAATCAGCTCACAGGCATTGTTCTTTAAGACGGGCAACGGGATGGTTTGGAAGGCAGTTTCCATGAAAATCATGGCCCCAACTACAACACTGTGGGTAAATTAGCAGCAAGGGGAGGTTGTACATTGAAATTTTAATTAGCCGTCGGCCTTTTTCAACTTGAGCATAAAAGCATAATGCTGCAAGTGATTTCCTCACGTAGTAGCAGGAGGGCGGAGGGGAAATGTCAAGCGCGCTGTGACATTGTTTAGTCTCAGGAGTAAAATACTTTATTTTATTCATTGTATGGTATATAAGCTAAACTCAAACGTTTTTTTTTAAAATAAACGACCGGCTTAGCTTTAAAATCTTATGTCAATTTCTTGGTGTGCATATGTATTAATGTACTTCTTTGGCGTTCTAAAACATATAACGGGAAACTTTTCTGTATAAAACACCAACTTTTGAAAGAAATACTGATCAATTAAAGAGAGATAACTTCACTAATGGCATTTTTATTAACTAAAACTGCAAAAATATTGCCTTTTTTGTTGGATAAAAACTGTATCTGATTGATATTGCCTGGAATGCAATTACGTAAAGATCCGTAAATGGAGTTCCCCAAATCAACTCATTTAGTCAAATACAGCACAGTAAGTAAAATTGAATATTGTAATTGTATTTAGTTGTAGTTTTTATGCGTTCAAATTAGTGTGCAAGCTAGCATTTTGAGTTATACCATATAAAGTATGTTTCAAAAAAAGGGAAAGCACTAGTAGGTGATAATGAAAGAGTTTGCCGTAAAATTAACCATGCCTTGTACTTGTCAAACAATTCCAAATCAAATTTCATTACTAGACAATATATAAGCTAAATTCAAACTCACCTCAAAGTTGTAAGTATAATGCTCAAAGGTCGGTGGATTATCGTTTACATCGTCGACGAGGACAGTGACCAACGCGGAACTGGATCTTCTCTCCGGTACGCCGTCGTCGGTAGCAACCACGTAGAAGACGTACTTGTGCTCACCCGGGGCGTCTTCCTCTGCATCCAGAGCGGTTACCGTCCAGAGTCGACCGGAGCGCGGATCGATGCGGAAGTAGCCGACGTCGGAGGTGTCACGAGTGCTGGCGTTCAGTGGGTGTCCTTTGCCCGCTTTCTCTGGTGCCTCTTTCAACGAAAAGGTGATGAGGGCGTTGCGCCCAATGTCTGCGTCGGTCACGCAAAGCGTTGGAGAGGGCGAGAGGTGCGTTACCGGCGCATTGGCTTGGTTCTCTCGGACGTGGCCCTGATAAGCGGTGTGTTCGAACCTCGGTGTCTCGTCGTTGATATCGCTAATACTGACGTGAAGACTCGCATTGCGGGTAAGGGGCTTAGCTGAATCATTGTCTGTACACATTAATGTGACCTATGATCAATAAAATGATCAGTCTAAACCAGTCTCAAAGCATGATTGGCGATGACACACAAGTCTTGATATCACTTCTTTTTAACCTTCCTCATACGCCCAGTTTATTCATCTCCTGATACTGGTACTCATAGAAAATCTCAATCTGACAGCTTGCACTTCCGTTGAAATCTCAAATAAGTCAATGACTAGAGGAATTCAATATCCAACAGAAAATGGAATACATTACTTTGCATTAGTCAGTGGTGCGTTATTCAAATAAGAGTTTATTTAAATAGTTTGAGAGGTTTGAAGATTTTTCATCCATTCCTTTTGGGAAATTACGAATATTTATTCACAAAACTGCAAGAACTAATTAGCCAACTACCTCATACAGTATCTTAAAGTGCACAATATATGAAATGAATAGGTAAAGTACATATGGTCATGTTACTTCAAAATTAGCGGTTTGTGTAAAGCCATGTGAAAATTTGCGGTATTGGTTAGTCGAATGAAGGAAGATGAATTGACGTGGTGAATGCAGCAATTCGTAACAACGACTCCGTTTACGCGATGGGTAGATGCTTTTTCGCCTATGACATGAAACGCAGTGGTGGCATAAATTATTCACTCCGAAATCTGCTGCCTCGAGTAGCTCCTCCCACGAAGCTACCCGCGTGTGTGGTTGCGTTAAGAGAGGTTGGAAACAAGGAAATGACTGCATTGTTAGCGACAAACGGCAACCACAGAGCTCTCAGTTGGCATTTCTTAAATTTGGTAGAAATCAACCATATTTTCCATCTGTTTGAAACATCACTCTAATTTGAGCAACTTTTTCAATTAAAGGTTTCCTTTGAATTATACTGAGAACGTAATTCTACTACAAAAATGGGCAGTGTTTTGCAGACTCCCCAGCTAACCCACGTATTTGAGGAAAATGATTAAAAGACGGGAAGTTTTGAAGTTGCATAACCAAAGTCCTGCCTCTTAGTTCCGCTATTACAGTATTGTAAGGAGCGGAAATTGAGGCTGTCTATGTTACGGAACGTCTTTTACACAAGTTATGCGTAATTCATCTCAGAAAACCAATGTGCTTCATCGTGTCCACAGTTCAAAAAACATTGAAAATTATGTTTAGCATGGGCATTAATCTCATCAGCTGCCAAAAAGGTGAATGCAGGTTGAGTAGGTGGAATAAGGTTATTTAAGTAGTAGAGTAGATTCCGATAGGCGGTTTCCCATTTCGAAAATGGGAGAAATTGCGCTTTTTTTCTTTTTTAAGCAATAGACTGAGTTTTGTATTTGGGATCTATTCGGCTACCGCTGGATAGTAATCATAGGCACTCTCTTTGTTAAACAAATGCCATCCCAAGTAGCAGAACTGGAATCACCTGCTGTTATCTAAAAAATATTTCAATTTATCACTAACAACTCAATGCAGGAGATATTGCATAAAGAAATTTACGGTTCTCGTCATTTTCACCACTGACACAATCAACATGAGAAAGATTTCCTTTAGTGAGAGCAGATACTATCAATAAAGCTTTTTGATGGAGAGGTTTCACTGGAAATCTACTCAAAATTAAATATTATGAATTATTAAGTTCATTTTCCGATATTGAAAATAGTCATGCTTGTCAGTTTTCCTCCAATTTTAAAGTAGACACACAAAGAGCTCCAATGGAAGGGGGATATTGCATAATGAGGCAAAAATCTCAAACGGAAAGCCGAATTTCCCACTTACAGTGGCTTGCTTATACCCTAGGTGCGATTTATGATGGGTTTGTGATATATTGCTTAATTTTATTCCAACCACCACACAGCGCAACAGTGTCTCACCCTTGACATTGGAGCTTGAAGCACCCAACATTAGAGGGATCTACAGTAAGTTCAGTAAACTGAATTAAAGGTCTAACTTTAAAATTACAAAATTGAAGAGTGCGCATTTTGAATGGTGATCCAAAAGCGTTTTGCTCTTTCTATGCCATGCAACTATCTTGATGAGTGGGGGGATAAATTAAATGAAAATTATACTTCGTGGATCAAAGTAGGTCTCTGCAAAGAAAGTGACCACTGCTCGTCTCTTTGTTGTGACACTGATGAAAGTATCTCATTCTGTTAACTATCACATGAATCGTGACATCTTTTTCTCGTCCTTAAGTGTGCGAGAACAAAAGGTGGATTCCCGAGGCACAACCACCGCTTCGTGTAGACAAACTCTACTCGTATTGTCACTATGACCGGATACAAGTGGCCAGAATCAACCACCACGAGCATTGCCCACACTTTGCACACCTTCCTCCCCACATCCTCTACTCTCAACTTGAAAAGGAGGAAGGAAGAGGGAGGAGGAGAAGGAGAGGGACACCGACTTTTTATTCCTCTGCTTTCTCACGCATTTGGAGAAGTTGAGGAGGAGCGGAAATTAATTGGCGATGTCCTCAATTCCCCTCTTGGCAAAGGAGGGGACTGGTTCTGATGTAGGTAAAGCAAAAGGATTTTAGTTTGCCGGCAACGTAGGCGAAAAGTTTAAGAGGATGCTTATAAGTTCTCTGACCTCTGAAATTTGGAATTCCAGGTTTTTATTTATTGTAATCTTTTAAAAGGATATCCTACTATTCAAGATGAAGTTCTATTGCAAATTTAGTCTTCTTCGCCGATACAAGGGAACTTCAACTTGTAAGAAAGTCGCATAATTTAACTAGAACTGCGCTTGTAACCAATATTTTGATGAATCAGGGACACCTCTTCAGACGCGAAAAGGACATCTCCAAGGATACCCCGAAAGGTATCTCCGTTGACGATAAAAGAAAAGTGAAACCGATAAAATCAAACAATAACTAGAATCAGAGCGAATTGAAGAGGAATAATATCGACTGCAGCATCTATTTTATACAATAAAGTTACTTAAAAGTCAGTTTTTAGAAGTTGTTATCAATGTGATTAACAACCTAGTGAGTTACACATGTATGTATGTCCCCTTATAATGAAGCATAATAGCCTAACTTGTTACCTTAAATACTATTGCATTATAAATTACCCGCATGGTAAACATTTAGTTCCATCGAAATACATATTTTCAGTTATTTTCACTGCATTATTGTAGTTGTGTTTTCCTCAAAGTTCACATGATTACTAGTGTCTCACATTCTCAGGCAGGTAGCATATCCTCCACTTTCGAGTAGAATAGGGTATGTGGGTCATAATACACAGAGCCTCACCATGGATTACTGATGAAGTGGTTGCTGCAGTTTGTCTCTTGACTGCGTGATGATGTCGCCCTTCAAAGTGTCCTAGTAAGACTACTTCAACGGTGAAACAAATACTCAGAGTAATTTTCACTCACCACTCACTCATGATTGAATTACAGAAGCAATATTACTCCCAATTGCGATTGTGGGCTTTCTAGCAAATCTTTCTCTGTCGACGAGAAGCATGCTTCTCATCTTTCACTTTTACAATGCTAAAATATTTACAAATGCCTGTTGTGTCCTTTCATTACAGTGAAATGATTAGATCATTTGTGGAGGCAATAAATGTCTACCTTTCGAGCGGTGTTTCTGGTCATTTACTACAAATATAGTACGATAGGCACCTCCTCCTTCTTTCCTCATTTTCTTCAAAAGGGGTCTGCAAACTGGAAGCAACTTCATCCGCATTGTTTAGCTTCTTAACAAACGTCTTCAAAGTGGTGACGCAGAAAGGTTAGTATCGAGTGCCACAAGCAGACCCTATTCAGCAAGGGAAGGCGTTTTCCTTCTTTAGGGTTTGCACAACTCGAAAATAAGGATATATCCTCTTACATAGTATAAAAAATCATCTGCTTTTGTTATTTGTTATTTTGCTATTTAAAATGAAATGCCAAAATCCCCACTTTAACAACACTTTTGTGTACTAAACGCTACCGTGAAGGATGTCTAGGGGCGGGCTGAGCAAAAGCCATCGAGCTTTTAAGTGTGAGCCCTAGTAGCACCCTAAATTTTTTCTTTCCTGAGAGTTAGCCTATCCCTTTACATAGAAAGGCTAATCTTTTGCCAATACGCATACGGAAGTCGAAATGTTTATTACTTTTTCCCACCTGCGACCACAAAAAGCTCCCACTCCTGGCGCTTATCCTTCGTTCCTCCAGGTCTAAGCATCAGGTGGAGGCGCTTTTGCATATGCAACACTGTGTCCATTGTTCTCTCATTTTTCGTCGAAAGGAGCGACTGGAGGGACAGGTTTGACATGGCGAGTTAGGTAAGTTTTTATGCGATTTTTCAATAGGCAAATTCCAGTGTGTCAGAATGAGCGAGTAAATAAACAAACTTACTTCAACAACAAGGCAAGTTTTTGTTAAAATAAAGCCCAATTTTTTACGATTTACAGAGTTTTTTCGTATATTGCTTTTCTTGCTTACTTACTATTCGTTCTTTCTACCTCCAACAAAGGCTATTTTTTAATGAAATCACTGTAATTTACTTAACGCCTTAGATCTTCATCATCAAGCATAGAAAATGGCTCAAAATTTACTGTTTTTTAGAGAATTTGGGCAAATTGTCAATGAGTTTATCAAACAGGACCATGCTACTTAAGCAGTTGATTCGATTTTTAGCGTTCCCTATTCACTTCAGACATTGTCATAGTAATACCTAATCAGTTGAAATACAAATAAAATAGCTAACGCTTTTTTATTGCTCTCACTCGTATCTGATAATGGCAAAAGATTCCAACTCACCATATATGCGGCCTTTGTTTCCCTATCCAAATTGACCTTAGTTCGTAAAGTGAATTGCCGGTAGGAGGGGAAGAGGAAGGAGGAGCTAGAGGAGAAGGTGGAAGAAGAAGGAATGGAATGTCTGAAATTCGACAGAACTGTTGCAGCAGAGTCGCCACCGTTGGAGAAGGGATGTACCTCGATGAGACGGAAGGCGTCCATCTCAGAGGTGACAGAACAGCTTAATTGACCCAAGTTGGAATCCGAATCTGTAACATGCACCTCTACCACGATGGACTCTGGCACAGTAATCACCTCAGGCAGCGCCAGACGACTCGAAGTGAGGCGCTTACCCTCGCGCAGAAAAACGATGTTCGGTGCTTGATCATTCACATTGATTATATCGACATTTACTTCTGCCCGCGAGCTTAGAGGAGGCTGGCCGTTATCTGTGGCAGTGATGTGGAACTTCAATCGTGGTGGCAGCTGTTCTGCATCCGGATACTCAAGTAAGTGAACTGACGCGGTGTAGAATGATCCGGGTGTACGTCGAGATTGGGAGTATCTGTTTAACGCTTCAGGTGGTGGAAGGGTATTTTGTAGAGAGACGCGAAATAGGTTATTGGCCTTGTGAGTTGGATCAAATATACTGAGAAAGACTCGCCCATTCTCTCCTGCGTCCATGTCGGCCACTTTAAACTGAAGGACCCTTCGAGGAAGGGTATTTTCTTGAACCACTGCACTGTAAGCCTTCTCATCGAATTCCGGTGCATTGTCGTTGACATCACGCACTCGAATAAGTATACCTACACTTCCTGTAAATGGGCTTTCTCCGTCTCCTTGACCTCCATCTATTGCCTCCAAGACAAATTCATAGACCTCTTCAGTTTCCCGATCCAGAGGATGGACAACGCTCAAATAAGGATGTCCAGTTTTCATGTTTACTTCCTCATCCTCTTGATCCGTCATTGTATTCAGCTGAAAGTGGGAGGCATTTCCTTGAATCCATCGGGCTATTCGGTAGTCCATAACCCCGAAAGGTCGACTATCAATGTCGATGGCTTCGGGGAGGGGAATCCTCTCACCCACAGGCAGATCTTCTGGGATAGTGGCGAAGGGCGACTCCAGGTGGGGGAAGGTGGGTGGGTTGTCATTGAGGTCCTGAACCGCTACTCGAATAAAGAAAACCTGCGTGGGACTGGTGGGACTCACGACGACATTAATGTGGAGCAGTTGGCAGCAGTGATAGATTGGGCAATCACCACCGTTTAGTGCTCCACTGAGGTACTGACTGAGATCGAAGGCTCTCTGCTTCTCGCAGATCGCCTCTCTGTCTAGGGGACGGGCGACAATAATGCGGAGATCCTTGAGGGCGAATGGCCAAAAGAGGTCCTGCTGTCCCGCGTATACTGTCACATTGGCCAACTGACCGGGATCAAGGATGCGCAATAGGCCCTCTCGGAGGTCGTACACTACGGTGCCCAGTTCGCTATTCTCCAACACACTCACCGACTCCATCAATTGGCTACCGACTGGGCAGTGGGAGATGAGCAGTAGGAAAGTGATAAGGAGGAAAATTCCTTTTGAGACCATCTTATTAAGCCCGTAGTAGATACGCGAAAACTACAAAAGAATGTCTTTTCAAATGCATGAACACGTTTCATTACATTACAATGTTCCGTATTGAAGGATCGGTGTAAACTTTTAATACTGACCTGATTTGCCATTGCGAAGCATTGTTCTTGCAAATTTTGCAGGGAACTGGATGCATTATTTACTGTAGAAAGCCATGTCAATTTTAGGGTTTTGAGGCACCTTGAATTCATGAGCCCATACGTAAAACTACTGTGTTTCCAAGTGCATTTAGTCTGTAATTGCACCTTTTGCGCATGGTGACTGAGCAATTTGTGGCGAGAATGAATATTAAGAATGGCGTTGATTTTCTATTTGAAATATTTGGGACAAAACCAAATATGTCTTATGCAGAAAAAGATGAACCAAGAGAAGTTCAAAACAATGGATAGATATAACATGCTATTTGAGTTTGTTATTAAGTAAATGCCGAATTAACTTATCAAGGATGTTGTCTAGTTGGTGCGACTTTTCAAAGCTTTAGCATGGACAACCACAAGAAGTGAACAGGAAATTTACACCATAATCATAGAAATTGAGTTATTTTCAAGTGCTAGTTACTTTCCAACTGAAGGAGATGCATTCAATTATAATTAAAGTGTTACAATGAGCCCCTCATACGCGGTCATTGCTTGAAAGAGCTTTACACTACTGAATTGAGGCCTGCACTGGGGCTTTGCTAATGATTAGACCTACTGGGTACAAGTGCCTGCCTCACCTGACAGATCAACTGTGCATCAACTTCGAAACGAGTTTGCTCTGATTCGACGGCTGTTGCTACACCCTCTATCGTATGTCTGATGAGGTGAGGAAGGAGACATACACCGCAGTAGGAGGAGACTTTGGGGCTTTTTCAATGCATTAGGGGCAGTGGGATACGCGTATAGGATTAAGGAGCTCTGCTGACAGGAACTGCTGAGTCCCACATACTTGGGTCTTAAAAACAAAATTCTCCATTCTATAACTCTGTCAGGGTACTGTTTTTCAGAACTAAGGACGATCAAAACTAAAAATAAGCAAAATATTTACCAGCAGTACTGAAGTCTATGGCATTTTCTACTAATTGTTTGAGTGGTTTTTGAGGAATAAATCAACTCTCACTCACATTTTACCCTACCAAATTGATTTTAGTTGGTTTAGTTGGCAAAAAGCAGGCTTTCCATGTTAGAAATTAAAAGCTCCTATACCGTGTCTGCAATTATAATATTTTTAAAATATAGGTCCAGACAGTAATGACTTTTGTAGGCGCTACCTTTACCGTAGAACGGCATTAAAGGACATATAATGGAATGTGATGCAGCGTACCAGGATGCATATTATTTCCACCGTTGTCATCCAAGCATATAGTACAAGTGCGGTTATTAACTGGATAATTTTAAACTCCCTACTAGTGTTTTCTTTTTGGCAAAAATCACATAACTCATCGCCTCAGAGTCCCCTGGGCTGATTAGGCAGAAGGAAGATAAATCTGCTCAAAGGGAGCCGCGCTGTTTGGGGCTGCTTCAACTTTAGCATTTTAGCCGACAAGGTAGCACTTTTTATTCTGCGACCTGATGGAAAGATACAGTTTTTCAGACCCAACACGCATGAAAGGTGCCTCATTAATCTGATAATAAAATGGCCTTCCATTACTCTCGCGTGAGTGGATAAAAATTATTTTCTCCTCCTCAGGATTTAGCAGATGTTCGTTGTGGATTCAAAGGAAGGGAAATATCTATCTCCCTTACCAGTTCACCACCAACAGGATCTGACAAATGCCCCTCATGTTCATGCTCCTTATTTATTGACAATTGTATTTACACTTATTAATATTAGCATTTTAGTGAGTAAACGAAGTTTTTTTCAGAAATTTTCACCCTTGCGTGAAGACTGAGCTTTAAAATAACTCCTTCTGCATTAGATTCTTAACTAATCGACTAAATGTGCAACTGGAAGCAATTTTAAAATTGCTGTGCTATTGAACGAGAAATATCTCAATTAAAACTTTTAAATATAAAGCAAAGCAAGTTAATTTCTTCAGCTATTGTCATAAAATTACGTTTGCAGTACCATAAAGTTGCTTTCATTCTCATACACAACAGTCCCCCAACAATTGCTTCTACTGGAAGGTCTTGAGAGAATTTCAAATACCACGACATGGCTGAGCCATCTAAAATCCATCGCACATGGTGAGGGTAGAGGACGAAAAAATTTACTACGTTAGGCATGCAACTGCCGCATTGTGTAATTAGCATTAATTATTCTATGAAAGGAGAGAACTCAGTTTCATTGCAAAGTCGGTAAGCTAACTGTGGGACTGTTTCATCGAGCAAAACCCTACCCCTGGGAAGAATCTAAGGTCTTTCAAAAGTTCATTAATCCAGTTCTTACAAATGCTGTTGATACGAATGGGTTGAGGCAAACGCTCTAAGAACCGTTATTCGTGCCACAAATTGGTCTTTCATTAGCTAAAATATTTTTTTACCAATTTAACAGATTCGCCATACAAATTACCATCAACTATAAGCCATTAATTTAGCCCCCGCAGCTACGACAGCGAATGGGTTTGCTTTCTTTGCATTGTCAAGCATTTTTTGAATCAGTCTGAGGCATCAAATTACAGGCCCTGTGAGCGAAGGCGTGAGTGTACAAGCCCCGCTGGACAGCAAGGAGTGAAGAAGAAAATCGCCTTGGGTAAGTGTACGCCTCAAAGCATAGCACGTACAAGCATATACCGTTCTGAGGGCAGAGATAAAATCGCGAGGGAAGGGTGAGATGTGGCAAACGAGAGCTTGTCTCAAAGCCAAAGGCCTCCACGGTTTTACACCTTTTACACTCATCCCCATCAATTCTTCCTCCGCTCTTTCTGGAAATTAAAGAGGGAAAAGGTTGGTATTTTATTGTTTGATGCGTAAAAGGCTTATTAATTAAGTTCAGCTATTCTCCTTTACAGTTTACTAGTTGAAGAACACCGTCAGTTCCCTTCGCCTATATCGAAATATAGCGTATTGTTTGGGTCTGGAGCATTTCCACTTTTTGTTTTGTCTACTAGAGAGGTATGGAAGCTTTCTGGGATTATACAATGAAGTACCAATGTTTAACTTGCATTAATAGACTTTATATTTTACTTTTTACGATAACTAAATTAATATTTTTTCCGTAATACAAAGCAGGAATAGTCTATGACAGAGTAGTAGGCAATAACCATAGAACTGCGACTGTGGCACTGCCTGTTTCCAGATAACATTCAGGGGTAACGCGATGAGCCCGGTGTGTAATGCTGAGGCCCATTGCCAGAAGGCAGAAAGCTAATATATCTGCAAGTAAAAACTACAACTACTGCTCCCGTTCTATCCTGTGGAATATTCTATACGCTTTGAAAGTTTTCTACTTCATTTCAAGTTCACCTTAAATAATTTGGCTTGCATGCAGCAAATTGGATTCCTCTAAATATTAAAAAGGTAATGAAAACGAAAGCAATCGGTGACTTCTTTGTAATGAGAAGCCGGTTGCTCATGGTTTAAAAATTCACAAATCTTCAATTACTCGATAATAGGCGCATAATCGCAATGCCAAACAACTAGCACAGGCCAATACTTTAGTAGCTCTAGGGATCACCATTACACCCGCCGTTAAATCGCGGAAAGGGAACCATGACAGTAGTTGGAAACGCGAAATAAGGGAAAAGAGGAAAAGGAGTCACTGAGGCAACAGGCATTCCAGAGAAAATGCTCACATCCTGAGGCATACACATCCTCTCTTTCTCTCCGTCACTTTCGCTCGGTCGGTCAGATGGTCACACTGTCATTCGCATCCATGACTGGCGACGCTGAGGGGTGTTTATGACAGCAATTAGCGAAATTAAACTCCAAAATGCATACACGCCTTTGTGAATTTGCGAGTTTTTTTCTTATCCTCTCCAATTAAATTCGCAACCTTACATGCAAATCTAGTTGGCAAGGCCCCTTAAATTCCTTACCTTCTTGGTAGTACTACTTCCTCAAATCCTCAACTATTGTGACCTCCATTTTTATTTTTAGCTCATAGGATTGTGTGTTGACTTCTAAGTTTCAGCATGATAGCATACAGTAAAACTAGCATAGCCACTGCGGGTCAGAAAGTGCTCCACCTACAAACCACTGGGGTTGAATACCATGAATTACACTAATTCAAAGAACAGCTAATTTAGCATTCTGAAGGATACACAATATCGAGCGAATCAAGAACATATTTTCAGAAAGCAAAATAATTTGGTTCTTTATTTATTTTATGTTATAGGTGCCCTTGTCTCACAGTGTACCCATTGTAAATTCTGATCTCGGTGTCTAAACTCCGACACCAGACAGTACGGACAGGAGTCTTTGATAGGAGGATTGGTAACAAGTTAATGTCATCCCATTCCCATGCTTTTCACCAATTTTCAAATGGTGACATCAGAATGAGGATTGCATTAATGCTTCAATTGCAACAAATCAGAAGAAAAGTTTGTTCTCAGTTGCGGAAATAATATTACTAACGTGTGTTGATGATGTTACCACTTGCCAGTTGTAATATAGTTTTCACCTACATACAATCAAACGCTAGGAAAGGATACATAAAAGTCAGCGCTTTTAAGAGGTTTGTGAGATTTCTTAATACCACAGCGACCTAAATGATTGCCTGCTTGGGGAATATTTTGATGGCTGCCATTTGACCTTTATTCCGACTGCAAAGGGGTCTACTGCGGTCGGAACCTTCGACGTCATAAAGGCATATGTTAAAGCAAAAGCAAAAGTTAAATTTTCGTTACTGCAAGTAGGGATCTGTAGCATTTATTGCTTTTAACTTAAATTCTGTCATCCTGGTTTTAAGTCCTTTTATCTTTAGTAACGACCTCAAGTCGCCACTGAAAGACACTTCAACAGATTCCACTATTTCACTTCCTGTGTTATCAAGCGTAACACACTTCTATTAATCTCGGTTTGTTTTGTCATTTTCTGCTTTGCGGCTGTAAATAATGAGTCTAATTTCCCCTCAGTTATATCCAAAACTATTAATCTGTACTTTGCGAACTGATTTAGTTCCAACAGACCAAATCGCCAAGACTGAAGCCAACTCCATGAAAATAAACTGCAAACTTACTTGCTCCCAGAGATGGTACAAAGCGCAATGGGAAATTTTTCATGCTACATGCCATCTCTGACCTTTCAGATGTTTACTTCCATTGAAAGAGGACTTCTTTGTGCCCCATAAATTTTAAAAAAGCAATGTTTTTACCGGTTGTAAACGAAAAAGTACCAGCATTTCATTTTTAATAATATGAATATTCGCATCCAATAAAAGTGTTGGTTCACAGCTGCTTCTATAAATAGTCAAAGAGAAAAACAGCCACATAAAACTACTTGCGAGGTTCAGAACCCACACCCTCGTAAACACGTTTGCAGAAGTCCCTTCGAAAAGTCGTAACCGAGTAGCACGGTGCTGTTGCTATCCCACTTCTCTTGCTTCCACTATCGTATTTCGAAGTTGGACCAAAGATCAAGCCATTTAAGAATACTCGTTACCGTTATTTAAGACCTGGCAGTACAAATAACGCAATGAAAAGAAGGAGCTATGATTAACGTGGAACACCTAGACGGCAAACTTTCTCAATCCGATTTACTTCGCTGGTGTGGATACTCTAACCATCCCCATAAGGTCTGCATCAAATACTGAATCCATTAAAAGTGACCTATTCCACTATAAATATTTAACAAGAGTAAATAAAGACCCTTAAATGTGAGAATTACCATACCATATAATATTTTGGTGCTGGTGTAGCCCACAGGGAATGCTAAGGTTTTCATTGCACTTTGCGTCGTAATGAATTCCTCTAATGTAGCCTCTGTGCGCTAAAGTTCCCCAAGAAAACCCATTTTATGAAAAGCAGCGCCCCAGCATTACTTCGCAATATTCGTTTTCTTTGTTTAAATAATAATGTATGCTCTCCCAATATCCGGTTCAAAATGAAATCTTCGAAAGAAGACCTGCGTGAATGACTTCAAGAAGCAAGCATTGGATTTGGCATTTCGGATTGTAATATTTACAATAAATCTCAGCCAATTTTCTACGTTCATGTGCAATATTACAATTATTTGCTGTGAAAATTTGCGAAATTAATTTATTTTGTAATAAGACCACTTGATCATTGTTTTTGACCAAACTTTGATTAAAATAGTAAAAAATCTAGTTTGAAGGTTCTGAGTTGTCTGCCCTTGAAGCCTGTATTTTTAAATTAGAAGTTCACTTCAAGCATGTACGCTGTCTTGGAAATTGTAGTCATCGAAGACCCCGAAAATGCGTTCGGATAGATACGATTCCCAAGATGA